GGTCGAACTAAAACGAGGCGGGCACCACTTCTAAGGTTCTAAGATAGTCGCAGGAAGACCCCTGAGGCTAGATCCTAACTCCTACGAGAAAAACTAGACCTCACGAAAATTGAGGTCAACAGTCACGCAATTGGGATAGTCTATCAATTGATGCATGACCTCTATGGCAGTTGGGATAGTCTATCAATTGATGCATGACCTCTATGAGTACCACCTCCAAGTTGTCTACCGGATTCTCCACTATTTAAAAGGCACACCGGGCTCAGGTTTTTATTTCCTGCCACACCTCTCGTTCTATTGAAGTTTACACAGACGGAGATTGGGTTGGGTTCATCTATGATTGGTAATTAACCTCGAGGTACTGCTCATTTGTGTGGGAAAATCTGGTCAAGTGAAAAAGCAAGAAGCAGCCTGTAGTTGTTCAAAGCAATGTGGAAGCCAAGTTTCGGTCTATGTCCCTTTGAATTTGTGAAACTCTCTGATTACGCATCATAATCTATGAACTACGTATGTCTCTGCTCCCCTACAGTTGTTTTGTAATTAAAAGTTAACATTAACATTGCTCACAACCTGGTCTAACATGATTGCACCAAGCATGTCGAGATTGAGATTGACCGTCACTTCATTAAAGAAGAGCTTGAGTCCGAGAAAATTTATGTTTCATTGTGTCATCTATTGTTCAGCTGACAGATATTCTCCCAAAGAACCTTCTTCGGCCACTGTTCGAAAATTTTAAATCAAGTTGAATATGACTGGCATCTATGCTTAAACTTGAGAGGGAGTGTTAGAATATTATAATATTAATATGCAGATTTTTGTATTAATTGCTTTGATTTGCTTTTATCTACTTTCATTTTTCCCTTTATTCTATTTTTATTTGTTTCCTTACTAGTAGATCCTAATGGGTATTTATACCCCTCTATGCATTAATGAGAATCAGCTTGGGTTCTATTCTAACACAATGAGTTTGTATTATTTACATTATTTAAGCCTTCCAGTCTGCACATCTCTACGTTTTATTTTCTTCTTCAAATCCAATCTTCTTGATCAACTAAAAAGTACCAAAAAACACCAAAACATAGGACCAATTCAAGATGAAGCAACTATCAAAGAACTATGGGGTAACTAATTATAAAGTTTTCAACATTCATGTACAATATGTGCAATTTGGTTTAAGGAAGCAAATCTTCGTTTAATTTCAACAGCGTTGTAGAAAATCTCAATATAGAGTGGTTTATAATATAATCATGAAACTGAAGAAAAAAAGCAAGAGCATTATTTTACATGTTTTGCCATCCCAAAGTCAGCCAGTTTTACTCGTCCATTTGGGTCGACAAGTATATTTGCACCTTTAATATCCCTGCAAAAAGCATACTAATCATTAAAAAAATAAACAGCACGAGCAACCTGAAGAACAAACTGAATTATCACTAAATCTAACCCACACCTATGGACTGTTTTCTTAGTGTGCAAATAGGCTAGGCCTGAAAGAATTTGCTGGGTATAGCTACGAATTGCTGGTTCACCAAATTGTCCATATTCTTGAAGAAGTTTATGGATGGATCCACCAGACACATACTCCAAATAGATGTAAAGTTTATCCTCTAACTGTAAAAGATGAAAAAATAATAATACCAGATAACCAAGGGAAAATTGTTACAGAACAAAAACATGTAACCAACACAAAACTTTCAATTCCAGCTTAATGACATCCAAACTTAAAGAGAAAAAACTCATGGGCATTAAAAACACATTTCAGCAGAAAGATGACTGATAACAGAAAGCATATACCAGAAGTGAGGATCAGATTTGTGAATCCTACCTCTGGTTAAAATTTTAGTTTTCACCTTCTGCAAGGAAATATAATGGACAAAAATGGACCATAAGGGTGATACCAAATATAAGGCCAACGTAGATTAACAACGCATATCCTAATCCGACTATCATTTAGGATTACCTTTTATAAAAGCTACTAGAAACTTTCCCAAGTTGTTTCGATCTTAAATCTAGTTGACATTTAAATAAAAAATCGGCTTAACTCCACATAAGGCTTATTTCTTCAATTAATTTAATTAATCCTTCATTTGGAAGTTTAACCCTGAAATAAACTTGAACCAGACAGTATCTAAATGGTGATAACACCTAACCCTTTACTGAAAACATTTTCTTGGGTCCACAGATCATATGTATACCCTCCCAGAGTAGTATGATTACTAGTTATTTGGAATTCAGAAAAGGTGCTTCAAAACTATTTTGGTAAAAACAAAATACATGCATTTCTCTGGTTGACTATATGAATGAAGAACACAGTTATCACTGTTGTTATTTTAAAAAGGAATTCTTACATATGTATCATCCATAATCCTAAATATTACCATTAAACTCCCCAATCTATCAGCCCTTAAAAGATGTTACCCAACTTAACTAGTACTATCAGAACATGAGTATCATTCGAACTAAGATGATTTTTATCAAAAATTAGGTCAAACAGAAAATTTTATTGCAAGAACTCCAAACAATACACTCAATAGCATAAAAGATAAGCACCTATAATTCTAAAGGTAGATGCTCTATCCAAAACCCGAACCCTAAGACTAAAGCAACAATCTCATAGCATACTCTAAACCTAACTTATTAAGCCCTATTTTTACCAACCAATAATAAATAACAAAAGATTAATTACCCGTAGGCGATATCTTCTAAAAACTTTGGGTTGCCACCTTCTCTAATTTCTCCATCAACGGTCAAACAATCGAATTACAACCCCTCCTAAACTTCAGGTAGTATTGTAGAAGTCACCAAAAATTAAAAAAAACTCTCCACCCCTTCAAGGCCTTTAGGAAGTGGCCACTCCAATATAGCTGTCAAATTCAATGTATCCGCCGACCCCAAGATCTTGCACAAACTAAGGTCACCGCGAAGCATAACCATCTTCTCTCTCTCCCGAACACTCTGTAGTGCCAATCAATCCCTTACAAACTCCACTACTTTTTTTCACCTGTCTCGTTCTTATCATTACTCATGAATTACCTTCCGCCTGGAAGGTTGTCACAGCCAAAAGCATTAGTGTGGTTGGATGCAAATCTTTTTCAGTATCCCACCCATTATGGTTTCGTGTTAAAATCCTTCAAATTTATATTCTTCAGTCCTGAATTGCACGTTGTCTCGTCCTGTCTGTTGTTGTTCGTTCTAAACCTCCAAATGTCATGCAAGTCTCTTCAAATATTGATGCTCAAATCCAATCCCGACTCATTCGCTTGATCCTGCCAACTTTCATTTGTTCCAGCTAGGGGTGTAAACGAGCCGAACACGAGCGAGCCATG